TACACAAAACTATACTTTAAGTGTTAAACCTTTCAAAATCAGATTGGAAGTTTAATATTACCAAAATCAAATATATTTATAATTCTACATATTAATAATAACATTATAAAATTAAATTAATTTATATACCATCCACTACCTCTATCCGGCCCCCACCAAAAGGAACAAACCTAATTTTTTCCTTCTTATCTATCTCTCTGCTCACTCTCTCGTCTCTACCATCTCCTTCCCGCCGTCACACCCCCGACGCCACACCATCAGTGATGATGGACATCACTTCTTTCACGTTGCCACCACGCTCGCTCAATACCGTCTACGCAGCTGCAACAGTGGTTGACACTGCCACTGCAGGAACAAAGATGCCGTCAACGTTGCTAAATAAGCGATGATGTCATCTCTTTCTATATTCCCTCTCCCTTCTCTCTATGCTCCACACTCTCTTTCTCTCTCTACTTAGATTCGGTGTTTGGGTGGCAATTTTGTTGGTGTTTGGGTGATGATTGGTGTGCTTGCGATTTGTTGTTTAGGCGGCAGTGTCGAATCTTGGTTCGTAGAGGTGGGTTTGTTGATGTTTGGGCTAGGGTTTTGTTGGTGTTTAGGTGGCGCTCTAAACATCCCAATTTGGTGTTTAAACACTAATGTTAGATGTTTCAATTGGCCGATCAAGATGTTGGATGTTTCGATTGGCCGATCAAGATGTTGGATGTTTCGATTTGAGTCGTCGGTAGGGAACTTTGTGGATAGAGGGGGTAATGCTAATTGGTTGATTGTGCTGTTGATTTGAGGTTGGAGCTGCAGGTCTCTGGTGGTGATTGTGGTGTTGTGGGTACGGTAATGGTGATGTATGCTGTAGATGCAATGCCGTGTACGGTGTTGTGGTTGGGAGCAGTGCTGTGTGTGGTGGTGCAGTGATATGTACTGTAGGTGCGGTGTGCTATGTGTGGCGGTGGCTCGGCGTTGTACAGTAGTGCTGACCGATTGTTGTGAGGTGGTGGATGTGTTGGTTTGTTTGGGATGATGTTACTGTCGAGAAATGGTGACGGCGTTGGTGGTGGTTTTGGCGTCGATGGTGGTGGTGCTGAT